GAGATTACGAACCGATCTAAATTTAATAACTATTGAAAACTTAAAAGCACCGAATGACTGTTTCGTCTCGATATGGAGCTCCTCGGTGAAAGCAGTCACTCATGACCTTATAATTGGTAACCGAATCAACGGCATTCAGTCTCACGTGCAAGCACATCACCCCTAGACGACTGAACCGGCATCCAGTGGTGTTCACATCTGACTTGGTCTAAATTTTATACTGTTCTAATAGTTTGAACATACTGATTACATTTGTTTGTTATTTAACAACACTATAATTTTGTTCGAGTGAATATTATTAATGAAATAAATGAGTCCACCTTCTATAATATCATCTCGTTTCTCTTCTGTTATAACAGTCTTTCATAACAAATAATTCTTGCTAAACTGATAACTATGAAATAAGTTACAGGTGAGAAGATATTTTAAACCTGGATATTGTTATATCGATTGCCTGAGTGAGAGTGCCCTGTTTAATATATGACGTTATACGACCGCCAATTGGAGAGAAGTGAATTATCCATCAGAGCAATGATACACGAAAACAGCATTAGCAGTCTTGAGTACTTATCAGTCCTGCTTTCTGCCTAGCCCAGCCAGTTAAGTCCAGAACACCAATAACACCCTCTGCGATATGAATCATTATTCTCAAACATACTGGGTTTATATACCAATCAAACTGACTACATCATACCATAAAATAGAAAATAACAATTGTACAAGATTCAGATAAATGTGGCTGTGAATAGGGGGGACAGTAATTAATTGACTGGGGATAATTCAAGAATTGTAAATCGTATAATAATAGTCTATAGGTCAAAATTAAGCTCATGATGAAGGGAACATGAATATGAATAGTTTAGTTACTTACTAATTATACAATAGGAAATATACATATCATATTGGTCCGTAGAGAGTTCTCAAAGTTACCATTCATCAATCTCCAAGGGATATAACAGATATCATTTGCATCATGACAGAAGTTATCCGTAGAACAAATATGGATCTGGAAGTATTATACAATAATAAAATAAGGTTAATCCCACACCTGGAAAGACCCCATAGCGAACAAGGTGAGGAATACAATTGCAAGTTGAAGGATATTGTGAAACATTGAGATTAAAATAGAAACAAATACAGTAAATAGTCTCTTGAGAAGGCAAAACCATGTATTGCATTATGAAGATGATAAAAAGTAGTGGAACATCTTGAACTACTAAGTGTTTATAAGTAGTCTAGTGTAAAATGCAAAAAACAAAAAATTGAAGCTAAATTTTGTAAGTTGAGAATAAATTGAATAGAAAAGGTATCCTATAAGACGTTGATCAATATGAAAAACCAGTAATGCAACAGTTTAGATCATCAGAAATGATAACCTACAGTCTATGGGATTTAAGAATAAAAATAATGGTGAAATTCATGCTTACATCATGCTTTCTTACTTAATTACGCCTGTTACTCCCAATGGTGCATAAACCGCCAACCAGTACTTGGCCTTCCTTTCTAGTTCTATCCAAATTTTGTTCATTCTCCTAATGTCTGTCTCCATTTCTCGACGTAATATGTTCTTTGGTCTTCCTCTTTTCCTTTGACCTTCAGGATTCCATATGAGGGCTTGCCTTCTGACGCAGTTGGGTTATTTCCTTAAAGTGTGCCCAGTCCACTTCCACCACTTCTTCCTGATTTCTTCCTCTGCTGGATGGAATCTGGTTTGTTGTCTCCCACAGTAACTCGTTGCTGATAGTGTCTGGCCAACGGATCCGAAGTAGCTTTCGTAGACAACTGTTAATAAACACTTGTATCTTCTGGATGATGTCTTTCGTAGTTCTGCACGTCTCCGCCCCATACAGTAGAACTGTCTTGACATTTGTATTGAAAATTCTGATCTTCGTGTTGGTTGACAATTGTTTTGAGTCCCAGATGTTCTTCAGTTGTAAATATGCTATGCTTACATCATGACTTGATCTTTATTAAATAATTATTGAAATCCAATAGACATTGAACATCTGGTTCGTCTTGGTATGGTACTTCATAGAAGTGGATTGAAGTTAGATATGCGAGCCACTGAATGACAACTAAGTGATGTAAAGTTTGTATGCTCATTACAAGGATTCAAAGGTCTTGGGCTTGGTCTCTGGTGGGATTGTGATGACATACTGTGAAGTGGTCCCATACGAGAACGTAACATCAGTCCAGTGTTTTCTCACTATCTGACAAAAACCAATTCTTGACGTAAACTTTGAAATCTAAACATCATCACAAACCTTTTAAAATAATAACAATCCATTTCGTTCATAGTAAACACAGTCATCATAAAAAATTATTTTCATAGTCAATTGAAGATAGACCACCATGGAAAACCTGGAAACACTGGACGGCTATTGGTGAACGATCTCTCAAACATCGTGGATTGATTGAAGTCAGACATTAACATCGTTGGATGCCGGCTCAGTGGTCTATCGGTTGAGTGCTCTGGTGCAAGACTGGTACGTCCTGGGTTTGAATCTCGCGAGGCGGGAGCGTGAATGCACACTGATGAGGAGTTCCCCAATAGGACGAGACGGCCGTCCAGTTCTTCCAGGTTTTCCATGGTGATCTATCTTCAATTGACTATGAAAATACTGAGATCTCCACAAAACCCCTTCTGATAAAAAATTATGGTGAAAGTTTAAAAACTTTTACAATGTCATCTTTGGCGAAATGAAATTTAATGAGATACTTTGATCATTCTAATCCGTATGATCTTCAATGAAGTAAAATAATTCAAGAGGTTCATTAATAACATTCTAAATTAGTTGTCTGTACAAATTTGAATAAATTGAGCTATGAAAGTTATGTATTAGTCTGTTATAAATATGATTAAATGTATTACGGAGAAGATATTTGTTATGACTTTACAAAAGAAGACCGTACGTCAATTTGTTATGATTTTATGTGCAGCTTTAATCAAGTGAATTATCCACCAATCGAAATACGACTTTTCTGATCTTAACACTGTACCAAATCAATGACGTTCAACTGGTATGAGCAGTCTAGCATCCTTATCGGTCCTTTGTTCACCTAACCCTTCCAATTGAGTCCACAACACCAATTACAGCTTCTGATATGCGAATCATTTATTTCAACCATACTCTGTTTATATACCAGACAGATAGACTGCATCACATCATAAAATAGGAAATAACATATGTACAAGATCGAGTCAAAGTGACTGTGAACATGGGAGACAGTAATCAATAAACTGAATATAATATGGGAACAGTAAATCGTACAGTAATAATTCATAGGTCAAAATGAAGCTTATAATAAGATAAACCTAGATATGCACAATCTAATTACTCAATAGTTAAACAATAAGAATATATATATAGAATAATCATCCATTAATAGGTCCTATTTATTATCACTTGTTTGGATCATGAAAACCATGGTAGTAAAAAACATCGGGTATAATAAAACTGGAGGATACAAACATGCATTTCTTCTTAGTCTAAGAATACTGTGTCTTTATCTTAACATAAATTTGAGTAGATCAATGATTAGAATGAAACTGTGTAACGGGTAATTATTAACAGTTCAATACTGAAAATATACATAACATTATCAGAGGGGGTTTTGTGGAGATTTAGTATTTTTCATAGTTTTAAAGCATGAGTCAATTGAAGCTAGACCACCAAGGATTGGGTTCGTGGATGCGCACTGCTGAGGAGTCCCATAATAGGACGAAACGGCCGTCCAGTGTTTCCAGGTTTTCCATGGTGGTCTAGCTTCAATTGACTCATGCTTTAAAACTATGAAAGATACATAACATTGTTTATTTATATTCACTTGTTTTTGTTTATTTGTATATTCCCATTGTTATTTAGGACTGTAATTGATCAGTCTCTTGTTGGTATGTGTGCATCCTAAACAGGCCGTCTCGATATTGCCTGAAGTCACAAGCTTTATAAGCAAATATGGATAGTAGCTAGTAGTGAAATCCAGTTTGATGCGCGTTTGGTCCTATTTGGGAATCGTCAGCTAGATGTACCTGCATCTCAAAGTTGATGTTCACTCTGGGACTCGAACCTAGTACCATTGCTAGCAACTATCCATCTTTGCTTATATTTTCACAGTTGAAATCATGATTCCATTGAAGCTAGACCATCATGGAAAACCTGGAAGCACTGGACGGTCGTTTTGTCCTATTATGGGACTCCTCATCAGTGCCCATCCACAATCCCACCTCGCGAGATTCGAACGCAAGACTTACCAGTCTCGCGCCAGAGCACAAAACCCCTTCTGTTTTGCTTATTTTGTTTATTTATGATTAAAAAAAAGGAAAAATTCTTCTGATAATATTTACTAGTTTCCTGAAATTGTATAAATTAATGGATAGAAATCAATTATCAATACAATTTTTCAAACTTATTTATAATATACAGTTGAAATCATGAGTCAATTGAAGTTAGACCATCATGAAAAACCTGGGAGCACTGTTTGACGGCCGTTTCGTCCTATTATAGCACTCCTCATCAGTGCTCTGGAGCGAGACTGATAGTTCCTGAATTCAAATCTCGCGTGGTGGGATCAACTAAATATTTAAAAAATTACTAAAAAAAAAATCTCCACACACAAAAAACCCCCATTTATAATATCACTAGAACAGTTTAAAAAACAATTTGATTGGTTAATTTTTAATGTGCGGCCGTTAATAAATTATCCAATCAATGATCAAATATAGATATACATTATTAGCCAATCAGATTAATCGAATTTCCAATCCTTTTATTCTTATTCCTTTTTTTGATTGGTTCATTTTATTCACAAGGTTTTTTTTTTCTTTTTTTCAAAAAAAAATTTTTTTTTTATACTTTACACTAAAAACCCGCATTTCATCAATTTATCTTAAAAAGTGTATTACACATTATTTGGCCAAATCATTAGAATTTTCCGTTTATTACTCCTTCTTCTCCTTCTATTTTTTTTTCTTTTCTTTCTGAAATTTAAAAGGAATAGAAATGTTGGATTCTAATAAATTTTCATCATCCGAAAAACAATTGAACATATCTGAAACTTGGAATTGGGCAAATTATGATAATACTAATCATAATGGTAATGGTGTCAGTAGTACATTAACTCCACAATGGAATTCTAATATACCCGCATATATAATAGATCAGACAACTTTGAATAATACATCTATGAATATCATTTATTCAACTACATTATCAACTATAAACAATAATGTAAATTCATATAAACCCGCATATTCAACTAAATTGTATCATACATATCAGGGTAATATTGAACAGAATAAATGTTTAACTAATTTCCCTAATTCAAATCATATACATTTACCATCTATTGAATCTGTTAGAAGATTAACATATAATAACAATAATTTGAATCATAGTTATAATAATGAATCCTACTCAACATGTTACTATGATCATCAACATAAACTTGAATACACCTTACCACCAATTACTTATCCTAATATTGAACAATATGAAACAGATTTAAGAAACTTAACCAAAACTAATGAATTGAATCATACTACTACTCATAATAATAATAATCTTGATCAAATTGTTGATTATCTTCCAGTAATTCATACAGATACTACTACTAATTATTTAGTAAGTTCAACACCAAATCCATTGATTCATTTAAATCAAATTGATCAATATAATTTGATAACACACAATGAATTGAAAGGGAATGATAACAGTTCCAATATCATTCATGATAATAAGAATATAATTGATGAATCGAAAGACAATTCCAGTTTAACTGTCCAACAACATTTATGGGATATAAAGGATTTGAAATTACCAAAAGTGAGTACCGTTATTCTGTGAATTCCATGTAATAAAGATGATGATGATGATTAATTTACTGTTGTGTTTCTAACTTCTTATTAAGAAAAGAAAATTGATACTGATTTGGCTGTATTCGGTCTTCATAGTTGATTGATTTTATGGTTGCGTGTTTTCCAAATTTTAAAGATTGAAATTACTATCGTATTGATTATTGATCATGTGGAATAAGTTAGTAAACTGATCAACTGATGACATACATCTGAAAGATCATTTCTTTGAAGTTTATGGATACCTCTCACTTCCCTGCTATATAGTGTGAATGGCGGATAGCATTGGAATCCACGACGCGTGGTTTGTCTCATTTCGAGACTCTTCTATGTTTATCTGTTATAGGGAAGAATTTAAACTGATTAAAAGTCAATAATTGAATGATTAAATTATGGGAATTCGGAAGTAGATAATCTGTTGGACACATTTTGATAGTCCCCTTGAATTGACATTAGTAAAAGGATTCTAGTGAGAAACTATGAATAATGACTTAAATTCAATCAGTATTGTTTGTTTGGATCTTCCTATTGATGTTTAGGACTGTAACTGGTCAGTCTCCAATTGGCATATGTGCATAGTTGAAATCATTAGTCGATTGATGATAGAGCGCCATGGACGAAACGGCCGTCCAGTGCTTCCAGGTTTTCTATAACGGTCTAGCTTCAATCGACTCATGTTTCAACTTTGAAAAATACTGAAATCTCCACAAATCCCCTTCTGATAATTGTTTATGGGTTGTAACTGAGTGGTTTAATGTTACTTTTGTGTAATTCAGTTACCCAGTTACTATGAATTTGGAGTCTGTACTTTTTGGTATACACCAGTAAAGTTTGTTGTCATGAATACCAAGTGAAGTACACTACTTACTTAAATGTTTAAATCTCAGTAATTGATATCTCGACACCGATAAGTTGTTGATCAACTACCTATTTAAATGATGATCTTAAGATAATATCGTGAATATGATGAACGTTAGTTATTTTAACTGAAAAATATCTTGTGACGAGTTCCAAATAGAACGAAACGCGCGTCCTGGATTCTTTGCTAGCTACCACCTATCTTTGCTTATCTTGTGAACGCTGCATCATTCAGTTTAAACTCCAAATTTAACATTTCAACATTAGTATTGTAGGAAGACCTGAAGGTTTAACAACGATCATTCAGTCTTTAGACTACTGTGACAGTATCCACTGTTTCACATGTCTAATGTAAGTCAATAGACAATACTAGACAAACACCTTACATCGTCATGGGTAGGTAACTGTCTCACTTTCGACATATTTAAACGTCATTAATCACAGTAAGCAAAGATGGATAGTGGCTAGCGTTGGGATCCAGAACGCACGTCACGTCTTATTTGGGACTCGTTAGTTGGATGCACCTGCATCTCAGACTCGTTGATGTTCACTCTGAGACTCGAACCCAGTACCTTTCGTTTCAAACGCCATCACGTTATCCACTCAGCTACTGAGTCCTGATAGCCAATTGCTTGTGCAATAGGGTGAAGTTTAAATTCACATGGTACTGTTTGTTTGAATTTTCTATTGATGATTAGGACTGCAACTGGTCAGTCTCCAATTGGCATATGTGCATAGTTGAAATCATTAGTCGATTGATGATAGAGCGCCATGGACGAAACGGCCGTCCAGTGCTTCCAGGTTTTCTATAACGGTCTAGCTTCAATCGACTCATGTTTCAACTTTGAAAAATACTGAAATCTCCACAAATCCCCTTCTGATAATTGTTTATGGGTTGTAACTGAGTGGTTTAATGTTACTTTTGTGTAATTCAGTTACCCAGTTACTATGAATTTGGAGTCTGTACTTTTTGGTATACACCAGTAAAGTTTGTTGTCATGAATACCAAGTGAAGTACACTACTTACTTAAATGTTTAAATCTCAGTAATTGATATCTCGACACCGATAAGTTGTTGATCAACTACCTATTTAAATGATGATCTTAAGATAATATCGTGAATATGATGAACGTTAGTTATTTTAACTGAAAAATATCTTGTGACGAGTTCCAAATAGAACGAAACGCGCGTCCTGGATTCTTTGCTAGCTACCACCTATCTTTGCTTATCTTGTGAACGCTGCATCATTCAGTTTAAACTCCAAATTTAACATTTCAACATTAGTATTGTAGGAAGACCTGAAGGTTTAACAACGATCATTCAGTCTTTAGACTACTGTGACAGTATCCACTGTTTCACATGTCTAATGTAAGTCAATAGACAATACTAGACAAACACCTTACATCGTCATGGGTAGGTAACTGTCTCACTTTCGACATATTTAAACGTCATTAATCACAGTAAGCAAAGATGGATAGTGGCTAGCGTTGGGATCCAGAACGCACGTCACGTCTTATTTGGGACTCGTTAGTTGGATGCACCTGCATCTCAGACTCGTTGATGTTCACTCTGAGACTCGAACCCAGTACCTTTCGTTTCAAACGCCATCACGTTATCCACTCAGCTACTGAGTCCTGATAGCCAATTGCTTGTGCAATAGGGTGAAGTTTAAATTCACATGGTACTGTTTGTTTGAATTTTCTATTGATGATTAGGACTGCAACTGGTCAGTCTCCAATCGGCATATGTGCATACTGTGTGTATTGCCTCGATATAGCCCTAACTCACAAGCATTGTAAGCAAACATGGATTCCACTGCTTTAAAAATGCTTGTGAATTAAGGCTATATCGAGGCAATACGTAAAACCACCACAAAATGCCCTTCTGATAATAATCATATACTCACTAGTGACTGGCTCCAAGAGGTATTTCCTGGAGTTTTAGTGAGAAGCAGTAATCAGTGGAGTTCAATCAGGTCTGTTGTGAGATAGTAACTCACTGAAGACAATCGTGAACGGTGGCGCAATTTCATAGATTGTTTGAAGTTAAACATTAACACTGTTCGATGCTGGCTGGCTTAGTGGTCTAGAAGTTAAGCGCTCTCTCGCGAGGCCATTGGGTCATTAGTTCGAATCCCGCGTGGCGGGATCGTGGATGTGCACTACCGAGTAATCCCAAACTGGGACGAAATGGCCGTCCAGTGCTTACAGGTTTACCATGGTGGTCTAGTTTCAATCGACTCATGCTCTCAACTATACAAAATTACTCTTCTCTTTTCCTTTTCTTTTTTAAAAAAAATCCAAACAACCAATTTTTAAAAATCTTTTTCTAGGTTAATTATTATGATTCATATGAATTATGGCCAACTGGACATTGTAGACGTGTATATGCTCAAACATGTGAACGTGCACGACGACATCAAAGTGGTTGGGCTATGCGTAATACAAATAATCATAATCCTCAAGTATTAAAAAAATCATGTCTTGGTGTATTAGAATGTTCAATGAATTGTATGGTACAAGGTAAACCATTAAGTTTACGTCCAGCTATATGTGATAAAGCAAGAAAGAAACAATGCAGTAAGTTAGTTCTGCCAACATGATTGATGTTTTTACGATGTTAGTATTCTTAGATTCATTGAATTTGATCTTTCATTGAAGGGTTCCTGTAGAAGTTTGTTTCATGTTTACGTTGTATTCAATACAGATCCATGGGATTAAGATTATGAATCAAACAATGTTCGATCACCATTGCTTCCAGATTTTCAATGGTGGTCGAAAACATTGATCGATTCATGATCTCAATCAAAAACTCAACAATCTCCTCACCCCCCTCATATTGATAGATTCATATGAATTAGAATACCCTTAGGACTAGAGGCCATTGGATTGTTGTTTTGTTCTAACAAATGCTATAACACTGGACACTGACTAAGCAGTTCTAATTGTGAGGCATCTTCTGAAGATCTAACTATTCTAAGCTCAATTTCTATCGAAGGTGTAGATGCACAATTATGTGGTGTTCTATAATAGGATGAAATAGTAGTCCAATGTTTCATGGTTTTCAGTGGTACAACATCATTATGGTGTAGAACCCTTTAGAATAGCTATGTGTTGACTGATAATCATTACATTTGAGATCAATTTAGGGAGAGCGTGAGAGTTCAATTGAAACATGTCTCATGGAAGATGAATTATGTTATGATTAGGACAGTGACTTATTAATAACATAGTATAAGAGTTATACTATAGAACACGTTGACTGGCAACGTAGTTTAGATCACGAATTGAGAGTAGCTAGACAACCATTGAAAACCATGTAGGACTGGACGACTGTTTCGTTCACGAATATAACTCTTGAACAGTGCATACGAAAGACTCTAGTAGGGGTTTAACCTAGGACCTTCAGATTCATTAGTGAATTCTCAAGCACTAAAATCGCTGGGTCAACATCTACCAATACAGTTCAAAATACAGTCAACTTATGATATGGCATGATGATCATCCAATGTCAGTGAGGATAATTGATCCATTTTAAATACATCTGAATGACCAAATCGACTCAACACTTCTCCAACTACATATACAGTTATTCTCAAGTAGTATTAAGTGTTGGATATTTCTATCACTGAATTGGTCTACTTTGAACATTTTACACTTACTGGATGACTAGACAATTCGTCATTTGTTTATGGATAATGAAATTGAAGAAACATATCTTTTTTGGTCTAATACCTCATTTGAATGTGTACATATATCTTAGGGATTGTCTGTTCTCAGTTGCTCAGTGGACAACATGTCAGACATCTGAAGCAAAAGGCACTGAGTTTGAGTTTCAACACTAGGATCCAGATACATTCAACTGAAAAGTTTTAAACAGTATGAAACACACTTCATGGATTCCAATCCTAGTTACTATCCAACTGTATTAAAACCTATGATTAAATATCAATACGTAGGTAATCCGCTTAAGATGTACATATGACAAAACAGTCTGATCACTTGCAATCAATAACTTCAATAAGTGGGCAGTACAAAACTTAATTATTTAATCTTTCTGTGCATTTGTTTTCATTCAAACTCAGAATAGTGATGTTTGTTGGAATACAAATAGATTAGATATTTTTAATAGTTAAATTTATGAGTTGATCCAAGCTAAACCGCCACTGAAAACCTACAAATACTGGACAACTATTTCGTCCAAGTATGGGACTACTCAGTAGTGAGCATCCACCATACAACACTAAAGGAACTCCAAAACAGGACTGTCAGTCTAGCGAGTTAACACTAAACCTGTAAACCACTGAGTCACCATCCAACGATATCAATGTCTAACTTCAATCGGTCCATGATATTGTGCAATCACTCATCCATTGTTTGAGTTGGATAACTGTCTCTTAGTTTACACGGATTGAACTCGACTAGTCACGGTTTCTCACTTGACATGCAGTAAATCCATGTTGAAGCTAATCACTAGTGGAGAAGTCCCATATTAGGATTAAACGACCGTCCAATACTTTCAGGTTTTCAATGATAGTCTAACTTAGATCAACTTGTGCATTCAATCATTAAAATGACTGCAATTTCCACAAATCCTTATTCAGATTAACTACTGTTTAAACAAAATAATGCAAAAATTAATCCAATTATTTATGGAAATTATCAGAAGGGGTTTTGTGGAGATTTTAGAAATTTTATAGAGTTAAGATTATCAGTCAATTGAAGCTCGGGTATGAGACTGGTAGGTTCTGGGTTCGAATCTCGTGAGGCGGGATCATGGATGCGCACTGCCACTGAGGAGTTCCATAATAAGACGAAACAGCCATCCAGTGCTCATGATCTCAACTCTACAATATTAACGGAAATGTTAATCATAGATTTTTACTGTGTATTATTATGTATGTATACAATATTACTAATATATTCATTATCAGTAGTTTTGCTAAAAAATGGTCATTTTACGAAAACTTCACGCAAAACCCATAAATATTGTCCATAATTGATTATGTATACAATGGTGTACACTCGTGGTGTCACGTATTATCTCATATAGTAATAAGGTTGCCAGATAATATTTACCTGCCCCCACAATAAGGGGGGAGGGAAATATATAAATAGACAAACATAAGTAAATAGACAAGGGATCAATCCAGACATGCATATCAACATATATATATATCCCATTTTCCCATACACATTATAAAAAATAAAAAAAATTAAGGTGGGAAATAATTGAATGAAAGAAGAAAAAAAAGCACGTTCTCATAATACTCGTAATTAACTATAATGGGGGGAAGGGGAAGGGAGGGAATAAGGCATTAAAAAGAAATTAAGAGTAATAATAATGGTGGGATAACAAATTTGACTTCATTTCGATTTTATCGATTAAATTTCTAATTAGGGTAATTATTTTTTTTGAATAATTACTGACTATTATGTATTTTCATAGTTGAAATCATTAGTCAATTGAAGCTATACCACTGTGGAAAACCTGGAAGCACTGGACGGTCGTTTCGTCCTATTATGGGACTCCTCGGTGCCAGTGCGCATCCACATAGTTTGAATCTTAGATTGATCGTAGCTAGACAACAGTAGTAAACCTGAATCCCTTAGATAGCCATTTCGTTCCAGTATGTGACTACTTAGTGATAGTGTATATCTATGACCTTACCTATAGGAATCGGACCTAGAACTTTCGGTCTCGGATGTAAGCAAAGTACTCATTGAAGAAAATGGAAGATAGTTTTTGTGGTATAATGGATTGATTGAAGTTAAATTTGTACATTATTGGTTGTCGGTTCAATAGTCTAGAAATTAAGAGTTTGCTCATGAGATCGAAGGATATGAGTTCAGTTTCCGGATGAGGAGTCATGGGTATGAACTCCTTCTAAGGGATGACATACAAGGGTAGAAATGGCAGTCCAAAGAATATTATTCATATAACTGAATAGTCAATTTTTTTTCGTTTCATTTTCACAGATCGTGAATGTATTACACCTGGTTGTAAAGGTCGTTTAATTCTACGTAACTGTCGTGGTCATAGCGGTTATCCTGTGACACATTTTTGGCGTTTTGCTAATGGTGCTGTTTATTTTGAAGCAAAAGGTGAACATGATCATAATCGTCCATCATTGAAAACTTTCGGTTTATCTGAAACTGATACAGTTACTACTAATACTACCACTATTCCAAACACAATGAATCCTAACGTTACAACGGCAACTACTCCTACCACTGTTGATAACTCAGTCACAGGAATAACAACAACAACAATACCAACGCCACTATCACCGGATATCAAGAGGGATCTGAATCATCTTACTAATCATAACAACAATATTCAATATATTCATCATCAAAATCCTCACCCCCATGATCAGTTACCACCACTACCACCACCACCACAACAACAACAGGGATGTCATGACTATGGATTCCTTCCACAATATGAACAATCATTATCCAATGAATTTTGTAACTATTATACTTATCCATCATCAGATTATATAAATTTAAATATAAAAACCAATGAAAATCATTTACACATAGATAATTCTCCTTTAATAAGTAAAACAAAACATATTGGCAAGCGTGGTACAAATAGAAAAGGGATACGTCGTGAAAAGAAGTTAACAAATACATACTTAAAGGTAAGTCAATTCTGTGAATTATCAGTATAGGATTGTAAAGATTATTTACTTACTTACTTACTTACACCTGTTACACCTCGTGAAGGAGCACAAACCACCTTAACATCATTCTTCATCGAACTCTGTCCTGAGAAATCCTTTCAAGTTGTTTCCAGTTGCTATACATCCTTTTCATGTCTGCTTCTAATTCTCGACACAGTGTGTTCTTCAGCCTCTCTCTTTTCCGTTTTCCTCCAAAATTCCAAGTTAGGGGATTGCCTCGTGATGTACTTTGGTCCTATTCACTTTTAACGTCTTTTTCTGACTTCCTCTTCATCTGGAAGGTGGTTTGTTCTCTCTCACAGTGAACTGTTTCTGATGGTATCCGGTCAACGGCTATTGAGTAACTTGCATGGACAAGTTTCGGCTCCGTACAGTAGAACTGATTAGATGTTCGTACTAAAGATTCTGACTTTGATGTTGACCGATAGTTGTTTTGAATTCTATATGTTCTTCAACTGTCGAAAAACTGCCTTTGATTTACCAATCCTCGCCTTTACGTCTGCATCGGATCCTCTTTGTTCATCGCTGGTGTTGTCTAGGAACGTGAACGTTTCTACTATTTTTCAGAATTTCTCCATCAAGTGTGATTGGATTTGTGTTCTCCGTGTTGTACTTGAGGGTCATGCTTTTTCCGTTGTGTATGTTGAGGCCTACTGATGCAGAGGCTTTTGCCACATTTGTCATTTTCACCTTTATTTGCTTTTGTGTATGGGATAGAAGAGCTAGATCATCTGAGAAGTGCAAATCGTCTAGCTGCATCCAGACTGTCCACTGTATTGTGTGCTTTTCCTCAGATGTTAAGGTTTTCATAATCCAGTCAACCACTGAAAGAAAGGGAAAGGGGGAGAGTAAGGAGCCTTGTCTGACTCCAGTCCTCATTCGGAATACATCTGTCGGCTGTTCTCTATGAACAACTCTACAGTTTAGTCCGTCTTTTGAATTTTGTATGATGTCAACGATCTTCTCAGTTAAACCATAGTGTCGAATAAGGTTTCATAAAGTTCTCCTATCCTCACAGTCAAACTCGTTCTCCTAGTCATAAAATTTGATGTATTGTGACATGGTCCACTCAATTGATTGTTCAACAATGATCCGTAGTGTCGTTATTTGGTCTGTGCACGACTGATCCTTAAAGAATCCGGTCTGTTGATCTCGAAGCTGAACGTCTACTGAATCTTTCATCCGGTTCAGCAACACTTTGTCTAAAACTGTTTGTTCTACTGATGGTAGTGTGATATCTCCGTAGTTCTCTCACTTGCTCACGTCTCCTGTCTTTGGTATCTTGATGAGATATCATTCTTTCTAGTCTGTCAGTGACACTAATTCTTCCTCCCAAATCTTCTTGAATAGAAGGTGAATCATACTTGCAGTTACTTTGGTGTCTGACTTCAGTGTTTCGATTGGTTTATTGTCAGGTCCTGTTGCTTTCCCACTCTTGATTTGTCTGATTATTGAGTTGCAATTGGAACTATGAACTGATCAATATTAAACCATCATTAAAAATCTGGAAGCCATTTGATGGTCATTATGATCAAACCAGAGATTGAGAACAGAGCATTTAGAAATGTCGATGAGAGCTTAATCTTTACATCATTTCATGATACTGAGCCATCATTATGTAATTGTAGTGAGTGAGAACACAGGTAAGGATAACCAATGTATTTCAAAACAAAATTACAGAATGTCTCGGTAAAATATTAAGACAATACATTGAATGCTTCATTTTCAAATCTTCTATCCATTGTACTTCACAAAGTGTATGATTCTTCCCACGCGCAATTCATTTCTACTCTCTTAAGCTTAATCTTCTTAGGCTTCTGCTGTCAGGGTTTGCACTTCCGATTGGTGTTACATACTATTTATATCTGTCGACATAAGTAGTATGTACCACACCATTTGTAGGTAACCAGTCAATATAGAACGCGTTTGAACTGCACTGGTTATGATTTTTTGTTAGAACTCCTGGAATATTTTCCTGTTGAAGTACATTCTGGCTATAAGTGTAGAAGAGATTATGTAAGTGATTACATTTTATGAAAAATAATTGAAATAATTTTAATGAATAAATGAACTTTACGCCTTTTTAAAGTTTCCAATGTGATCAATTTACGTAGTTGAAATCATGAGTCAATTGAAGCTAGATCACCATGGAAAACCTGGAAGCACTCGATGGCCGTCTCGTCCTATTAAGGAACTCCTCAGCAGTGGGGATCCATAATCCCGCCTCGCGAGGTTCGAACACAGGACCTACAAGTCTTACGCGCGAGCGCCTAACCTCTAGAACCACTGAGCCGGCATCCGATAGTGTTAATGCCTAACTTCAATTAACTCATGATTTCAACTATGAAAATACTGAAATCTCCACAAAAACCTCTTCTGATTATAATCAAATGCTCACTAATGACTGACTTCAAGGTATATTTCCTGGAGTTCTAGTGAGAAGCAGTGACCAGTGGAATTCAATCACATCTGTTGTGAGATAGTAACTCACTGAAGACAATTGGTGAATGGTTGCTCGAATTCGTGGATTAGCTGAAGTTAGACATTAACACCGTCGGATGCCGGCTCAGTGGTCTATCGGTTATGTGCGCTGGCGCGATACTGGTAGGTACTAGGTTTGAATCTCACGAGGCTGGATCGTGGATGCGCACTGCTGAAGAGTCCCAAGATGGGACGAAACAGACGTCCAGTGATTCCAGGTTTTCCATAGTGGTCTAGCTTCAACTGACTCTACAAAAAACCCTTCTGATTATGGTCAATTTATTTTACTTAAATTTATATTTATTACTCCTGGAAATTTTTATTTATAGAAACAACAGAAATATGAAAATTATTACAAAAAATTATCTAATGAATCCAACTGTACATTGAACGATATCAAAAGAAATCGAAAAAGTAAGTTGATGTAATGACTTAAAGATGTTTGATGTTCTTTCAATGTTCGAGTAACGGATTCGATCCCCTAATAAGGGTCTGTGTTTGTGCACTGTTGAGGAGTCGGCTGTGTGAGAGAGAGAGAGTTATCTATTCCAGGGAATGAATGAAGGTTCCCCTATATCGTAAATTTGTTGAATTTATTCATATACATCATTTGATACCATTTCAGTGGTCTACAGGTTAGGCGTTTACAAACTATAGTGAATGCCTCAGATTCAGTGCCCTAATGAGGATCTGTGGATGCGCACTGTTGAGGAGTCCCATACTAGGACGAGACGACTGTGCATTGCTTCCAGGTTTTCAATGGTGTTCGAACATTGATCAATCCATGATCTCAATTAAAAACTCAATAATCTCTACAACCCCATACTGATAATTTTAATTACTTTACATTAACGATATATGCAACACAATAAGGAATCGATCAATGTAGACATTTGTATTGCAAGTTGTTTTTCTTTACAATAGCTGACAGTGAGACTCAGAATTATCATTTCGTCGTACTTAGGACTTGTCAGTTGGATGTATCTGTCTACATTTAGGATTTGATATTCATACTGGCACTTGAACCCTATCTCTTACACCTTAAGCATCTATGTATTATTCTGAGTCCACATAACCACTAAATTACTTAGATGGTATGATGTTTCTAACACTATTGATAAGAGTTTACATTATCCCGACCTCCACAACTCTCTATCTCTTATATATATAACAATCATTTCTTTAAATTGATTGATCAGTCTGTGGTAATGTTATTGTCTCATGATTTAACAGTGATTGACTTGGTTTATGGGTTGTTCCCATTGTGAGAGATGAATTTAACCTAAAATTGTAATATGGATCATTAGCCTAACGATTTCAATGGTTGAGCATTCGTTACAATCTGTAGAGGTCTTGGGTTCACTTCTCTGTAAGATCACTGGTGTACATTCCAGAAGGACTGTATGTTAAGACAAAACAAACATTCACTCTCTCCTGGTTATCAATAACGATAAAAAGGAAATCAATTTGTAATTAATTCATTCTGTAAGTTAAATCAAAACTTCTTCAACTACTGTAATAGACGAGAACTTAGGTGGAGACAACCAATTCATTCTCTTACATGAACTGTCTCAAACTTCATCTTTCTTTCATTACTATTACAATTCCTCTCTGTTTACATTCCCATTCTCTTCAATTCAGTCTTCTCAACCTTCTACAGTCAGGCATTCCGCTTCTGAGTGGTGTTACATACTAAGAAGGACTTGACACGCATGACATTGATCACCACCCAGTGATCAATCAATTGTGATTACATTTCAGTCCTACAGAAAGTTCATCGAGGCCCGGATAGCTCAGCGGTAACGTCTCTGATTGTGATGCTAAGTGACATGGGATCGAATCCGTCAGGGAGCATCAGTTTCCTCAAGATTACAGGTACACCTTGCTGACGCGTGCCAAGTATCACGAAACCCTGGTCCAGGGTTTCCTGCTGACCACCTCCAACCACCATCTTATCTCAACATAGTGCACGCTGTGTCGAGCCACCTAGACTAGTGGCCACATTGCAACTTGATCGATAGCATTCGATCAGCACTAAGAAGGACTTGACACACATGACATTGATCACCACTCAGGTGATCAATCAATTGGTGTTACATACTACTTATGTTGACAGATATAAATAGCATACACCACACTATATATATTTGTTGTCTAACAAATTATTTACCCTATATCCTTTATCATTATTATTGTGATTATTCCTTGTAGATCAACAGAATACAAAATCAGATCAAATCAACAAGTTTAAGATTCCTATTAAAACTGATGAAAATGATAATGATCCAATTTTCTATGATGATCCATTTCATGGTGACACAATTCATAATGGTTACCCAATGAATATCCTTAATAATAATTCATGGAACAATGAGATGATGAATCAAATCGATTCAAGCTTGAATCAATCAACTGATAAGGAACAGTACAACACCACTGAGATTAATACAATGAATTATCCTTATTATTCCGATCCCCATTTTACAACTACATCATTACCATCATTGCCATCATCATCACCATCATCAATAACTATGACGACAGTGAGTCGACATCAATCATCATTACCATTTTGGAATTCTATACAAGATTTAGATAGTTATTCATCAACTCATCATAATTCAAATAATTACATCACAAATACCATAATCTCTACCATGTATTCATCACCGAATTGGTCATTATCACCATCTATATTGTCAAGTTCTTCTTCTTTATCATCTTCATCTGTATCATATTCCAATTGTATCACTTGTGCATTATCATTGCCATCATCATTGTCGTTATACTCTACAAATATATCTACATCATTCAGTAAACAAATCCTTCCAAATTCTACTGAAGTCAATCAATGTTATCCTTTGACAACATCTCCATCCAATTTAAATGGTAATGAATCCTTTTTTATACAATATAATAATTGTTCATATTTAAACAAACCTAAATATTTATCATCTTCATATAATGAATATCCACAGAGTGTACTGATCAATTCAATGTACCGGGAAAATGATGAGAGTAATCCAGTACAGTTTAATGATAATGATATAAATGATGAAGTCTGTCATTCTACACCACAACAATCAACATATATAGATGATTATCATTATTATTATTATTACTATTATTATTCTAATCCATGTTTGTCAATGTCAGATCAAATAGTTTCATCTGATTCTACTAATACTACTACTAGTACTATTACTATTAGTAGTATTAGTAGTGATAATACGGATACTAATACTACTTTTTCTACAAGATCTGTCAATAATTATCTTATGGAAAATCTCAATTCAAGCCACGGAGGACAACATTATCAACAGCCACCACCACAACAACAACAACAACCGACTGTTCAATGTTCAATGAATGATATTATCGATCAACGGACAGAACAGAGGATAACTGAAAGTATGGAATTTATAAATCAAGATGAATATGATATTGATAAATCATTCAATTATTATCATTTTCTATTCAATTCAAATATGCATGAACCAATGAATATGAATTGTTTTAATGAATCCGATAAATATGGAATAGTGAAAGAGATTAACAATGAGATTAACAATCATTATGTACATGAAAATATTAATGAAAACAGTTTACATGAAGAAGAAGAAGATGATGATGGGGAAGAAGAAGAGGGTGAAGAAGAAGAAGAAGAACAGGTGGAAGATACTCGCTACAATCATCCATCACCATTTCCTCCACCTCAGCATCATCATCATCATCACTATCAACAAAAGGACGAAATCATTTTTAATCAAAATCTACTAGAAGAAACAACCAACTGGTCCAATTCATATTTACATAATTCTTCATTATTACCATCATCATCATCATCATCGTCATCGTCATCATCATCGAAGGAACAAATCAGTCAGTTTGAACAAGATCTAACAATAGACGGTGTTAAACGTCATAATTTTGAAGAATGTTTACCTCGAACTAGCAATGCTTCTATTATGATTACTACTACTACTAGCAATCATACTACTTGTAATGATAATATTGGTACTACTAATAATAGTAATAATAATGATAATCAATATTTGATTGATTATAATTTCCCCTGTGACATTCATCACTATAATAATTCATTGAATTATTTCATTGTAAATGAACCGGTAACTGTAACTTTCGATCAATTATTGATTAATAATTCACATTTTTGATCTATTTTAGTGATCCTTATATTGATTATTATTATTCTGATCAGTATTGTTTTTGATCCGATAAAATTTTTTCTCTTGGCAACAACAATTTGGTCTCTCCATTATTTCTGTTTGGGTTCTTTTATTATGATTCGTCTTCCATGACTGTTTTTTTTCTTTTTTTTAACCTTGAAAATTCAATTTAACCGGTGAAAAAAGTTTGTAATTTTGTTTTATTATTGTTTATAGTACTTTTTTTATTTACATTTTTTTCTTGAAAATTCATACTGACCTGTGATCAATTCTTTACAATGTTCAATAATAAATTGAATTTGAAATTTGAAATTTCCGCTTCTTGATAATTGAAAAAAAAACAATTTTGTAAGTAGACTACTGATAGGTGGTTAGTAGTAGAAGTCAGTCTTGGGATTCGAACCCAGTACCTTTCATTTTGAACATATAATCTGTTATTGATTAAGTTATTAAGTTCAATTAACCAGTAACTTGTTCAATAGGTATGAAGATCTCCTCAACGGTGTGCATCCATGATCCCGCCTCGCGAGATTTCAATTCAGGACCTATTCTTCTCGCTCCAGAGCACTCAACCGATAGACCACCGAGCCGGCATTCAACGGTGTTAATGTCTAACTTCAAACAATTCACGAACATTTGAGCGACCGTTCATCAATTGTCTTCAATGAGTTGATATCTCACAACAGACTTGTTGGAACTCCACTGGTCACTGCTTCCTACTAGAACTCCAGGAAATATACCTTGAAGTGGAGAATTTAGTATTTTCATAGTTGAAATCATGAGTCAATTGAAGCTAGACCAACCATATAGTGAATAGTTAATTTACAAAATAACAAACAATTGTCTCAATTTGATTGTTTATTCTGTAAATATCCATCCATAGTCTCCGATTACAATAGTTCATGCATTATCGTACCAATTGCGTGCCGTTTTCGTTCTTTCCTTATTGATCTTCTACTGAAATACATTCAATGCTCGATTATTTTAATATACTACTTATGTGGATATCAGTAACTCATATCACACAAGTACCTTTCGTTTTTAAACATATAATGTGTTATTCATTAAGTTATTGAGTTCAACTAATCTGTAACTTGTTCAATAGGTATGAAGTTCTTTGTAACGATTTGAATGAACGCATTGTTGATTGTAAAGATTGTATTTTGATCAGTCTTTGTTGACCTATATATATATACCATATGCCGACTGTCTCAGTATAACCATAATATTATGTTTTAGTATATTCGGTATATGATTAATAGTGAAGTCTAGGACATGTGTTCCGTCTTGCTTGGGACTCGTCAGCTGCATGTACCTTTACATCCCAGTGTTAGTATTCACACTGTGACAATGTTGAGTGATTGATATTTAGACAAAATGCATTCATTTATAAATAGAAATGAAGTAATCGATTTCATACAATGATAAAATACGAAAATCTCAAGTCTAATCAAGTAATGACTGTCAGATGGAATGAAACTTTAAAGTTTACAAGTATTATATAAAGTTGAAATCATCAGTCAATTGAAGCTAGACCACTATCGGAAACCTGGGAGCACTGGACGGCCGTTTCGTTTTATTATGGGACTCCTCAACAGTCCACATCCACGATCCCGCCTCGCTAGACGAAACGGCCATCCAGTGCTTCCAGGTTTTCCATGGTGGTCTAGCTTCAATTGACTCATAATTTCAAGTATATATGTTACGTCCTTGAATCTGTCTACCCACTTAGTGCGGAGTATAATGTAGACTAAGACCTTGACACGATAGACTGACTGGCTTAACCTTGAGGCGAATATGCGTGAGTTCGAAATAGGGGTAGAGAGACGAAAACTATTCTGTCCCTGATTGGCTGGCAAGCACGAGAGAGAGAGAAGACAAGACAGATGGAACACTAATCACTTTATTCCAACCCGATCTAGCACTCGAATTCCCAATTCAGATTAGGGTGAAAAGTTACATGAATAAATAGATGACTAAGCGGACCACAACGTACAATAATTAGAAAAATACAATCATGTCCAAAACTGGAGAATTGTAGTAGAAAATAGGGTACAAAAGATTACGTCTAAATGACAATAGCTTTAGAACAGAAAATGCTATGGCAATGAATTATACATCAAACGAAAGCTTATGATCTGTAGAATAGGCTAGGGACAAAAGTAAATGTTACAATTTTACAAGCTTTGAATTAAACGAATTAACGTCCCCAAAAATAGCTTCCGTAATTTGTTAAGGCTTCTTGTTTTGCGGTTCACATCAATATATAAAAAATTACTAAAAATCTCTACAAACAACCCACTTAACATATATTAATTGACCATTCCAACTTAGGATAATATTGATGGGGCGAAGAGACTGAATTGACTGTTAATCAATCTTTGAAATAATACTGTAGTTTAGAAAATTCTATTGAAAATAATAAATCAGTAACGATATACTACTAGTATAATGAAGGTTTCCAGGGTAGTTACAAAACCCGAAGGTTCTGGGTTTGATCCCCAATGGTGAGTTTGTGTTTACATTTTGCTGAGGAGTCTCACAATAGAATCAAACAGATGTTCATTGCATTGTAGTTTTCAGTGTTTTCTAGGATTAGTGGATGATTTAAAAACTTACGTTAGTTTCTGATCTGAATAGTTTAAAGACAAAATCTCGAACTGTGAAAATGAATGACTAGGTTTTGAATCACTGGCTCTTTCAAAATTGCAAGTTTGTTAGTGAGACATTAAGTTATGGATAACCTTCAAGTAATGCTACATTAACCTTGAGAATATCTGTTTACCTACTGGATTATAAATTAATGTTAGGAATTAGGGTTAGGATTTATAGCTGGACGTCAGTTATAAGAGTTAGGTTTAGGGTTTTTATCACGAACTGACATAAGCTATAATGCCAAATTGTTATTTAGCTAAATTAATGAATGAATTTCACGCCAAATCCAAGACCTGTTATCTTAAATCTGATTGGTTCGTCCATAAATTTTAGTCTTGCCCTTGGATACCTAATCATATGTATTACCATTAATTTTGTTACCACCTCTACTACTCCGAGATTTGTTTTAACAGCTTCATCGCGCTTTTTTAATGGGGTGTAGTAACTTGAATCGATGTACATACGTACTAGTTTCTATGTTGAGACTGACCTACTGACTGACTCAGAGTGAACAAAATTTCCTGCTGACCATCTCCGATCAATTAACGTTGTAAACAAGTTTCAGAATGTAGCACAGAAGATCGACTGCGCATGAAACTTTTATTGTAACAGGAAATAGTAGTCAAAACTTAATCTCAAAAATATTATTTTTAACAAAGTCGTTTCAGATTCTTACTATTTATAGTAGTTCACAGTGACATGTATCTAACCATATGTATATTCGTAGGATAAAAACCAAATTAATCGGAATATACCAAGTCATATACGATTTCCCCAGCTTTCAACGTCTGTGCCACAAAGGTCAGTTTGTGATATAGATTCTAAAATTTAACAATCTCCATGTCCCCCTCCAGGAAGCTATACTGGTAGTTGTTGTTCACCTACTAGTGTCTACTTCTGAGAAATAACTTCTAGCTAACATTAAATCGATTACGGTGCTTTCGCTTTATCGAAAATATATACTCAATATGTATAGGTACACACTCTTATTCACAAACATATACAATCATTTACATACTCAAAAATACATTGTCCCTGAAAATGGGAATTCGCAGAGATTGTAGTAATGTGAACAGTTGAATTCATGAGTCGATCTAAGACAAAACCACCAGTGAAAACCTGGAGACACTGGATAACCGTTTCATCCTAGTATGAGACTCCTCAGTAGTGAGCATACACTATACCACACCAAAAGGATTCCAACACAGGACTGTCGGTCTTGCAAACAAATGCTGAAGATTTAGACCAGTGAGTCACCATCCAACGGTGTTAGTATTTAACTTCAATCAATCCATGATATTGTGAAACCACTCATCCATTGTTTGAGTTGAATAACTATCTTCAGTTGACACGGATTGAACCTGATTAGTCATGGCTTCTCACTAGAACTGAAGTAAATCCATATTGAACTGAGTCACTATTGAGCACATGAAAACCTCATGAATTCAACTATTGAAATTACTACAATCTTCGCAAAACCCCACTCTGATAATTCTTTGATGGATACCGAACCATGATGTAAATTATTTAACGGGTTCTAAGCAGCCTAATTTCTTAATCTTATAACAGCTTGTGTGTATGTTTTATTTTATAGAAGATCAGTCAGTGATCGGATAATTAGGTGACAGCATCTTAAACCATGAAACTTAGTTAAATGTTCTCGAATCTCATAGGAATTATCCGTTAAATGAAAAAGCTAGGCAAACCTTTCTGACTTGTGTTAACTAGTAGGGAAACTAGATCTATCGTTTCTTGTTGACTACTTACAATTATCTAGTAATTGTTAGTTACTTATAATAATCACTTAGATTTATGATACAAAATGAGATTAGAAGTAGACAAGTTTGACACTACGATGAGTCATGTCACCTCAAATTACGATAAAACAGAAGGGGGGTTGGTTAGTGGAGATTTGAGTAATTATTTATATAGTTGAGATCTTGAGTCAATTGAAGTTAGACCACTATGGAAAACCTGGAAGTACTGTTTGACTGCCGTTTCGTCCTATTATGGGACTCTTCAGTGGCAGTGCGCATCCACGATCAAACAACTATATACCACTTAAGTTTTATTATTTGATTGAACAACATTCAATAGACAATTCAATATATAATTTGATAGTTTACATCATCACAGATTTAACTTACATAGACAATCATAGAACTTCTTCTTAATAGTCTTCATTCACAACTTTATCACAGTAACCTAACACAAAACCTTTAGATCCTTATAATAAGTGGATAACCTTTAAATAAATGAGTAAATTAATGTTTGTTTGGCGTTTTCTAGTCTTTAATTGTTACCTACTTCATGAAATTAAACTATAACCTTTCATAATTTCCATAACTACCCTTTCCCCCCCCCACGACCCAACCTCACATACACACCAAATAACAGGTAGATCAAAGAAATTATTAAAAAAAAAACATGATTAGTTCAACAGACTAATGTCACATTTTCCATAATTTGATGTTTTCTTAATTCTATTTAAATCTTCTATCAAAGTTGATTCTTTTTTTTTCTTTTTCTCTCTCGTGAGCGCGCTCTTTTTCTTTTCCAAAAAAAAGTAGACGACTACCATGGTAACACAGAGTGTAACTCTGTTTTGGAAACATTTAAAATATCTTATACATTAAAAGTGTAGGGTAGGGTAGT